AAAAATGTGAGGCCAAATGGGTAAAATGAAACGATGGAGGAAAGGGAAGGGAAGTGATTGAGTTATGTACCAAAAAGTTCTTGTTCTAACATGTGTATTTAGATGAAGACTCTCATTTTTGCACTTTATTCTACGAGCTTCTGTTTAACCAATCGGCTATCGCTTAACCAATCGGTTATCGTTTAACACCGGTTATTGCTTAACCAATCGGTTATCGTTTAACCACCGGCTATCGTTTCTAACCAATTGGTTATCGTTTAGCCAATCGGTTATCGCTTAATCAATCGGTTATCCTTCAACCAATCGGTTATTATCGTTTAACCAATCGGTTAAACCAAAAACCAACGGCGATTTATCGGTTATCTATATTTGACTTTAACTTAACGGGTTACTCGCAGAAATTCAAAGAATGAGAGAAAAATGTGGAAGGATTTAGATGGATGGCTCGTTTAAAAACAAAGCAACAAACTTCAAAACTGACTAAAAAAGAAAATCCCCATTTTTGCAGTAATATAAACTATTATTTTGAAAAGAAAAAGATATTCAGGTAAGAGAAGAATTCAGGGAATTTGTACTTCTTTCCGTAATGGTTTTACACGCTTTTACTTTGAACTATAGTAAATTGTAGCGATTATTCAGCACAGATTATGTGGGTTGAGATGAAAGAATCAAAGGTTTGATAGAAATGGGGAACTTGTTTGATTGAAGTTAAGGCAAAGCTGTAAATTTTCTGGACAGAATCGTTCGTTTTTGTTAAATTGGTAGCTAAGTTTGTTCTTTTGTTCAATCGAGAGCTTGACACAATGACTTTGTGTTTAACCGAAGCTAAAATTCAGCTAGTTTATAATAGCTGTTGGTTCTGATATAATAGCTGTTAGCTCTGATATAAAAGCTGTTAGCCCTGAGATAATAGCTGTTAGCTTTGTTAGCGCTGTTAGCTCTGATAAAATTGCTTAAAATAAAAGCATGATTGTATGAACTTCTCACAACGGGAAGTATCTTTGGCTGGTGTTTTTGTGTTTTTCGTGGGAAGAAAAAGGGCAATGGGCGTTGAGAAATGAGTGGGAAATTTCTGGGTAGAGAAGAGGCAATTCCCCTTAGAATCAAATCCTCATCATTTTGCTGTTGATGAAGGACTAGACGGTTCTTGAGCACCATAGGCATAAATCTATCTTTAGAGCTCAAGGATTAGAGTTAATTAGGGTTTTAAAGAGGCAATTGCCTTTTAGATAATTTGATGTCAAGTTTATAGTATGACTGTAGCCAAAGGGCGGCGAAAGTTTTTGACCTTTTAAAATCCTCTCCTAAAAATCTTCCTGATTGTTTTGATTTGATAAGTGTTTATAGGCAAAAAGATAGCCAATCTTTTACAGAATTTAAATCTTATTGCCAGCTCTAGAAAAATAACTTTTTTAGATTTGAGTTAATGCTTTTTCGAAAAAAGGGTCTGTATTGGAACATATTTTTGAGGTTTTGACCGCAAAAAATTTCTATAAATCTTCCCTGAAACTTATTTCTGTTGTTGTATTTTTAGTTTAGAATTGATAAAAGAACTTTTTGAATACCTTCTAATCATCGGAGTTCAAAGTTTAACAGACTGGTAGACGACGAGGTTCTTTTAGTTTAACAGATCAGACGGACGAGGTTCTTTTACTGAGTAAAACCAACAACTTGTTTGATCACAGAGTTTTGTGATAAGTCAAAATCGAAAGAAGTTATTTAAAAGCTGTAATATAATTTAAATTCTGTAAAAATTTGCTATCTTTTGGCTATAAACACAACTAGAATTCAATTAAAGAGAATTTAAAAAGACAGAATTTTTTCTCAAATCCCGTATTGCAATCCCTGCTTTGGTAGAACAAAAAAGAAGGATTAACAAGCGATCAAGTGTTCTTCTCTTCCGATAAGTTGTTTATTTTGATTCTTTTAACCTTGTGAACTTATTTTCTCTTTGAACTTATTTTCCTCTCTCAAAACTCTTACATCTTTATTGTTGAGACGTGTCATTTCGGGATCCGATCTCGCTGTTGTTGATGTCGGTGCGAGGGAAATCTTTCTCGTAATTGTACCGCGCTGGTAAATCCGGTCGCGAACTGTACGAGCCACCAGTTGCCCTAAATCAAGAGAAATTTTGAAGAAAACTTTCTAAATGACGAGAAAGTTTTGAGAATTTTCACTCGAAACTTGCTAAAAACTTAGAAAGGGTTAAATCATTACGTATTCTCTCTAATAGTAGTGCACTAGAATTGTGTTTCGGTTGGCTCTTTTCGGTTCAGTTTCGGTTTCGGTTCAACCGGAAGTCAACCGAAATCTTCGGTTCGGTTCCGGTTTTCGGTTGAACCGAAAAGATGATTTTTCGGTTCGGTTCGGTTAACCCGGAAACCGAACCGAAACCGAACTTACAAGAACGTTTCCGGTTCAACTGAAACACAAGTTTAGTGCGCGCTACATTATTTTTCAACCCCTCCTGGACCACACAATACTATTAGAGAGAATACGGTAAGTCAATTTTCTATATTTTCTGATAAATCTCTGTTTGATATGAGCTTTTCTTTGCCTACAAACTTTTTTAGAACAAAATTTGTGTAACTTGCGTGGTCAAAGTGCCAATTATTTCCCAAGAGTTATAAAAATGTTCCTCTGACTCATGGTCCAAAATGAAAAGATCCGGTTGCTAGTGTCATGTACGACTGGCTAAGTTCCCGTATCTTAGCTTATAGGGAAGCTTAAGGGTTCAATCCCAACCCAACGTTGCTTCGTTTTTGAAGGTGTTTTAGCTAGATTGTTGGCTATTTTTGGCTAGTTTATTAGTCCTGCGTACCACATTATTAATATTTTTTAAACAAACTGAAAACTTCATTCCTTTACTAGTTAGGGTTTCACTCAAAAGCTCAGAACTCTTTTAGCCAGTCAGACAGTTTTTGGATTTATTAGGGTCATAAAACTTCGTTAAACACTTTTCTTAATTTGAATTCTACTCCCACCTGTCATTGTGATTATTTCTAGAATATCGGGAGAATTCCTGGATGTCTCAAATTTTCGTATTGATTGGTAAAGTTGTTCGAAGAGGTGGGAACACCCAGGCTCGAGGTCCGCATTCCTCTCTCGAATTGTGCATATCACATGTCTGGAAATGGCAGAGGAATCAATAACTTTAAGAAATATAAACCTTGATTAAACAAGACAGAAAAACTTTCAAAAGTTAAAAGGTTGTGGACAAAGTGGGAAAGTTAAGGAACCTAAGGGAAGCCAGAAAGCGAGGGAAGCTAAGGAAGCTAAGGGAAGCTAAGGAAAGTTAAGGAAAGCCAAGGGGAAGCCAAGGGAAGCCAAGGGGAAGCTAAGGGAAGTAAAGGGAAGCTAAGGGAAGCTAAGGAAAGCTAAGGAGTAAGCCAAGGGAAGCTAAGGGAAAGCGGGGAAGCTAAGGGAAGCTAAGGGAAGAAAAGGGAAGCTAAGGGAAGCTAAGGGAAGCTAAGGGAAGCTAAGAAAGTCAAGGAAAGCAAAAAGCAATGCTTCGAATTTTCGTTAACCAGGAAGAAAAATATTACGGTCAAAAATCGGAAACTATTTCATAAGACAATGAATTTGTATTTCCAAAGAACGTTAGATCAAAGATTCATAGGGAATTTCTCCGAAAAACCAGCTCTAGAGCTTCCGATTGTGACGGAAGAACGGGAGAAACCCAAAATGTAAGAGTGACGCGGTTTCGCCTTAAAACTCTCAAATTTTGAATAGAAAAGAAATTTTGAAATGTTTTGATCGTTTTAAAACCAATAACAAACAAAATCATAGCTGAAAATCGCTTCTAGCGGTGGATCGAAGAATGGGAGTCAGTCCGGGAGAACAGGAGAAACTCAAAAATGTAAAATTGACGGGTTTTTCGCCTTAAAACTCTCAAATTTTAAATCAGCCACAGATTTGAAATGGATAACAAAGAAAAACTAATGGAATTCCGAATTTCAAGAGGAAACCGATGATTTGCTGTCCCGAGAAACAGAAATACGCCCAGAAATTGTGGGAGCTCATTAGAGCGAATTCAAAGGTAAAGCTCGAAATTTCTTTATTTGAATTGAAATTATTGAAAAAAAATTGATTTGATATTTGACAAACAAAGCACGAGAGATATGGCTTTTGTTTTAAAGAAGTGGTTCACAATGAAAAGAATCTATTTCTAAAGAATGCAATCTATTCCTTCAATTAGTATTAACTAAAGTTTTGTTTTGTAAAATTGAACTACAATACTTGAAGCTAAGGGAGTTTTAAGTTTTCATTGTTCTTGATGTGTTAACGACAAATCGTAACTCTGGGATCTCTTCGAGGGATGAATTCTGAACAAACAAAAAAACAAACAAACAAACAAACAAACAAACAAACAAACGGAAAGCTAAAAGTGTGTTTTAAGATTAAGACTTACCTGAAATCAAATTAAGACAAAAAGTGAGAGTGAAATAAATAGTAAATCTCACAGTACTTATTAAGCTCTTCAGAAACTCTAATATTTTGAAATTGAACAAAAAGATCAGTTGCAAGATTTTCCAAAAGACAAAAACAAGTTGCTTTACCAAAGATTTTTCCATCGAGAAACAAGAATCCGAGCAAAGATCAAGAAATACTTGGAAACATGGGTCCTTTCTTCATTCTCTTCCTCAAGCATTCCCGAAATTTATCAGCTCTCTAGAGACCACTAGACGTTGTAAAATCGAATGGGAACTGCTTGAATGAGAGAAAAGCAAGTCTGACAAGCTTTTTCAATCTTTCTAACTTATGATTGGGTTTCGTCCAAGTGCAAAGTTTAGAATGAGAAATTTGCAATGAAAAGCTCTGACAGCAAAAAATTCATAAGTCTGTTCACCAGAATTAAAAATTTAAAATCGAATGAGTTAGATACAGCTCGACCAAGAGACACAGCTCGACTAAGAAACACAGCTCGACCAAGACCTAAGAAGTACCTATGCGCCAGCTCTCCAGACTCAGGAGATCCAGTGGAAGTGATTGAGAGAAAAGACTCAGATGGGCTGGCCAATGTAGCCAGAAGAACAGACATCGGATGGACGATGCCCGGTCACAGAGTGGCTACCACGAGACCAGAAGAGGCCCATCGGAAGACCCCAGCAACTGGAGCACAAGAGTGGCAGCAACGGTCAGAGAAAGGATGGATAGAGTGCAACCACCACTAGCACAAGCAAGTCGAAGACTTCGAACCAGGAACAACCAAGAAACACTGGATGAGCCAATAGCAGTCTGTCGCCTTTTTGGCCAACTTGCGTCAACTTTGCGCTCTCGCTAAAAATCCAGAGATAAAAGATTTTCATAAGATTGAACGTTGTTTTGTAGAGAAATAATCGGCCTTTCTAATGAAACCAATTTTAGATCAATTAGTGAATTTATCATTTATAAAACTTTGGAGGAAAAAGTGAAAGAAAGCCTCTTAAACCTATGGGGCAGAGATTTGAAAAGTAATCTGTTCAACCGTGTTTCTTTTATAAGGGCTTTTTCTCGAATTTCCTTGAAAACAGACCAAAATCGGGTTGAAAATGATAGAAAAATGAATGCTAAACATCTTCTATTTAGAGCAAATTGTAGATGAATTGATGGCTTAATCATTTCAAAGCATATCTACCAAAAGTCTTCTACTAGACTCTATTTAGAATGCTAAACATCTTCTATTTAGAGAAAATTGTAGATGAATTGACGGCTTAATCATTTCAAAGCATATCTACCAAAAAGTCTTCTACTATATTAAAGAATATTTAAAGAACATTTAGAGCTATTTAGCCAATTGTAGATCTAAATCAACTTGCTTTCAAATGAATGCTAAACATCTTCTATTTAGAGCAATACATTTCATCTTTCAGTAGCCAACAAAAGAATAATTGATAAAAATCTGTATCGAGAATCGGTAAATGGAAAAGTCAAAGTATTATGAGTAAAGTTTTAAAGAATTTCTCAACCCTTTTCTCATAATGTCACCGTTTCAAAACTCCAACGAAATCGTGCTGCTCACTTTTAGCAAAGCTGATGTTTCCAAGTAAAAAAAATGAGAACAGAATTTGGCTATAAGAGGGCCATAAAAATAAGTTTTGGAGAGCTTCCGGTTTCGTGCATTCGATCAAAGAAAAGAATGGAAAGAAAAGGGGAAGCAAGGGGAAAGGGGGGAAAATTGGGATAATTGTCTCCTCACCGGGGAAATGTCCTCATAAGGCCTCACCTTTTTTTTCATTTGTGCTAAAAATGCTCAAAAAGAACGCTTTTCGGGTTTTTGATTTCCAGTTAACTGAGAAATGGAGGATTTTGATGAAGAAGAAAGAAAAGAAGAAGAATGATCTTCTTCTTTGATTACGTCGAGGTACAAATTACTTTGAACAGCCCTGACCTACAGCCCTGACCTGCTGGCCCTGATCTACAGCCCTGGTCTACAGCTCTGACCTACAGCCCTGACCTACAGCCCTGATCTACAGCCCTGATCTACAGCTCTGACCTACAGCTCTGACATCAACCCGAACACTTGTGGTCGATTGTAAAAGCAAAATTTGAGTGGACAGAGGTCTCCAAAAAGGCTGACCCTATGGACTGAAGTATTGATGACGTTTTTCTCAACAAGTGTTGCTCAAAATTGCTCAAAATTGGTCAAAATTCGTAAAGAAATTTTGTGGACTGTTTTCTCAAGATAAGATGTGATATTTTCTTCAATATCATATAACTTCAAATCGTTTTTCCAGGTCGAGTGCACGCAATGCGTTCAATTGTGGCATGGCGCGCCGGGGGAAAGGTAAAAAGAATTAAGAAGAATAGGGAAACTAACTTTGAAGCTGAATATCTTGGAATATCAATGAATTCGATTGGTGAAGAAAGGATTTGAGAAGAAAATGAATAGAAATTTATGAAGGAAAATGATAAAACATACGCAATTCTACGAAAAAGCTCTCTTTAAAATAACGAACAGTTGCCGAAAATCACGTTTGCAAAAATGTTTTCTTTTAATTTTTCAGCTTTGCATGTAAATTTTGGACAAAGTTAGTTTAATTTTAATAGAAACACAGAAAATCGCGGAAAAAGACCAAAGTACCTGTTTTCTAAAGAGTTAAACATAAAAGAAACACTTAAGCAGCCATGTATAACATTAATTATGCGCCCAAAACAATGCAATTTAGCTTTTAATTTTAATGCAAAACCTTCCAAAGGTGATAAAATTACAGTTGACTTGAATCTATTTTAAAAAAAAAAATTTAAAAAATTCGTAGCTTTGTTGCTAAATCGGGGATTTCTTGTTGACGATGGGCTGCTGAAAATCAAGGGATTTTCTTTAAAGAAAGAAAAAAAAAAGTTGTGTAGGCAACGTTCGAGTGGAATTCGGTTTGGTGGGCAAATCAAAAAAAAGCGTGAATAGAGGCAGAAACAGTGGGATGAAAAAAAGACAGGGGGGGGGCTCGGGGGGAAAATGGGGAGCCTCAATTCCCCAAACTTTTGGCACGTAGGAATCTAAAAATGAAACAAAAAAATGCAAACTTTTGAATAAAAGTGAAATGCTACAGGAAATGATTAAATCATCAATTGATCTACAATTTACTACAAATAGAAGATGTTTAGCATTCTAAATAGAAAATATAGTAGAAGACTTTTAGTAGATATACTTTGAAATGATTAAGTCATCAATTCATCTACATCAATATGTAAATACTAAAATTAGAATCTTGAAAACAAGTTGATTTCGATCTACAATTGGCTGAATAGCTCTAAATGTTCACTTTAACCCATTCGAAACTTCTGCAGCGTTAATTGAGCTATTTTCATCCAATTAATTGCTTTTTTTGCTGTTTTTCAGCATTACGTATATATTCCAATTGTAGCAGATCTACAAATTGCGTGGGCAAAAGATGTTTCATATTTGCCCGGAATCAATGCAGTCTCTGGTTTTGCATTGAAATGTTCCTACTTAGCTCTAATCTTATAAAGCCGATCTCCTGCAGGAATTCAGTTCGGTATCACGAAAACGCGGGATTTGCGAAGGAATAGATTTCAAATTTTGCTCTTGACATGATGTGGGACATGTGGGAAAATCCACTCTATCCCAGGCCTGCTCCCCCAGTAGTCACGAATCCTCGGTAATTTGACGATTCCCATTTGAAGCCAGGAAGAGCTTGAAAGATTTTGCATCTATAAATTAGAATTTCGAAAGCAAGTTGTTTTCAGAAATTCCAAGATTTCAAAATTTCAAGATTCTCTCTCTAAAAGCAAAGTCCACGAATCTCATCACGGAATTCGTCTAATATTGGAATAGATTGATGAAGAGAGAATTTCCAAGAAAAGAAAAATTGAAATTGCTTAGATGAAACGCTGTGAGGGAATGACCCATTTTTGCGGGTTTTCTTTTCGTTCCTTTTTTGGATTCTTAGAAATCCGGAAGATAAACATTGAGCTTGGATTCTGGAGTTCCAAACAGGAAAAAGGAAAGGGGAAATTCCCAGATGACTAGTTGTTAGAGGAATTCGGGTAGTTACTTGAGTTCGATCTCCAGGATTCTGAGATTTTGTTGTTTAAAAGCTCGAGTAAAGTAAAGTAAAGTTTTGGGATTTAAAATAAAACATTTAGAGACATCAAGAAGTCAGAGATTAGTCTGGTTTGAGCACAAAAGATTTGTTGACCTGTTAGAGAGTTAGAGAGACGAATAGGAACGATTAATTAGTAGTTTCATTGTACAGTCAAAGCTCGATTTAACGATGGCGAATCCCTTGAGAATCGTTAAATCGAGATTTGACTGTAATTGTAATTGATTCAGGATCAGGTAAGGTGTTGAAAGCGGCGGTTAAGTCAGGTCTATATCTTGTGATGACCGACTATGCCAGAGAGTCGGCGTTTAGGAGAGCATAAAGTGCGTGTGTATTTTGTGGAACCTACTTTGCTGTAGATCTACAGCAAAGTAGCCCACAAAAAGCTAAGTTTTCAGCTGGCGTTTGGCCTAGCTTTTGAGCTGGCCTTGCTAGGGTTCGATTAGCTAAGAGTACGTTCAAAAATCTTGCAATATCAACTAATCTAATAGTACTTTAGATCTAAAGAAACTTTAGAAAAATCCTGTTTCTCGATCTCTGAAATCCTTAACACATTCGCGACGATGGCATTTTGAGCGTACAGTCGCGTCGTCGTCAACTGTACTGCAGATCTAGCCCACAAAAAGCTAAGCTTTCAGCTGGCGTTTGGCCTAGCTTTTGAGCTGGCGTTTGCCTAGCCTTTGAGCTGGCGTTTGCCTAGCCTTTGAGCTGGCGTTTGCCTAGCTTTTGAGCTGGCCTTTCTAGGGTTCGATTAGCTAAGAGTACGTTCAAAAATCTTGCAATCTCAACTAATCCAATAGTACTTTAGATCTAAAGAAACTTTAGAAAAATCCTGTTTCTCAATCTCTGAAATCCTTAACACATTCGCGACGATGGCATTTTGAGCGTACAGTCGCGTCGTCGTCAACTGTTTTACTGATAATTTGGTGAAGATTCATGGATGAACTAAGCTATTATAGTCATTCGAAAGCCCTGAATCTCCTCTTGAAAAGTAGTACAAAGTTATCGTGAACTTTCTACAAAAAAAAATAACAAAAGTCTTTAACACAAAAGTACTTGAGCTGACACCAAAAATATTTGCCATTAGTACGGTCTCGGTGAGACGTAT